TAGTCCATGAACATGAAATCAGAAAAATTTACTTGGGAATGAATGCAAATTTTAAAGATCTGCGTCAGGGAGGTCTTGAAATTCAGTGTCCATGTAGGAGATGAGGGAGCTGGCAGTCTTCAAGCAAGAGGTTATAACTTTTAAGCAAACAGCCTGGAAAAAAAGGAAATGCTTTAATAACTAGAGTTACTGTCTTTTGCTTTATAAGCATGCACACAAATTCACTCTTGAAGCAAATCAAGAAAATATTGAGAAAACTTGCTGAGGAACAGCATGTCTGCCACCGGAGGTCTTGCTATCCTACCTGCTCAGTTGCGGGCATCCCTCCATCCTGCCTCGTGGATGGCTGTGAGGCTTACCTGAAGTGACACCATAATGTGCTTAATCTCAGTGAGTTCAGGTAGCTCAGTAGAAGCTTCGGCTTCATAGGAAAGTGAACCCTTTTCAGTAAGGAAAGCAGGGCCGTGACAGAGTATCCAGAACAGGGCCGTGCTCTCCTGGTGCACAGCATTTTCTGAGAAAGGTTTCAGAGCCCTATAGAACGTGATTTCTTTTGTGACATCTTTCATTCATTAATGTCAGTCCTGGTATTTGCCAGACTTTGAAGATGATTGTGTCACTTCCTCCTTTCAAAGGGAGCTAAATAAGCTTGCTATTTATACCAATTGCTTTATTGATAGTACCTCAACAAAATCAGTGTTCTCTGGGGTGAAAATCTCCTCACAGGCTACATAGTCTTCCATCATGTGTGCCTGGGTTCTTCAGAGCTTCCTCCCTGATTCCTGTGTCCCCTCCATCCTTGTCTTACCCATTGTGTCATAGTTGTCACATGGTTATCTGTCACACTTAGTAGCTCCCAAAGCAGGTGAAAGCTGAGCAAATGTCTGTTTCCTCTTATCAGCAAATACCAGAGTCCAGCAAACTGCAGACTTAATGTGAATGATTGCTGAATGCTTGCATTTCATTTCTAAGAACGTGTTACTACTTTATAGGACTTAAGTTTTTTTTTTAAAGATTTATTTATTTATGCATACAAGAACTGGGGTACAGGTCAGAGGTGTGGGGGGTGAGAGGATTCACCAGAGACAGAATGGGGAACAGAACAGGCAGATGGACTGAAATACACTGCTGAGGGGAGCAGCAGGCGAGTCAGGAGAGGTCTGCTGCGCCATGTGGGTAGCTCCCTGGCCACCTGGGTATCGAACTCGTGCTGCAGAGGCTGTGGATAGCTTCATAAGTTGCATCACCCTGGGGAGGGTCTTTTCCTCACCCCTTATAATTTTGATTGCTCACATACCCCGAAGCTGATCATTTGCCCTGCGCCACCATAGGCCCTTAAGTTATTTTTTTTTAACAATTTTTTAAATTACAGATTTAATGCAGATTCCTTCTTTTAGATTTCAAGAAATACAATGGTTTTCTGTCCTAAAGCATTAACTTTTGCTCTATATTTGCTCAGATTTCTATTTCCTTGATACGTGTAACTTGGTTCAAATTTTTGATACACACTGATTCAGAACCTGGCTTTTGTCAGTTATAGCGTTAGATCATGCCAAAGTATCTACTACTTTAAATGACTGGAGAGTTCCATGATTTGTAAGTAAATAATTTAAAATTTCTGTTGTTCATGTGTGTAGTTCTCAATTCTGCCTTTATAGGTAAAAAATGTTGGCATAGGCTAACATTCGTTATACTATCAAACAAGTTAGTATAAAAAGTTGTATCCATTAGGATATAACTTATCACTTTCCATAGGATATAAATTCTGTTGTTACCCCAACTCACATTGCTCCAGCTCCATAGTCCTCCTTGCTCTTTCTAGAACATTCTGGACCGGCTGCTGGGCTTTAGCAGTCTCTATTCCCTTTCCCTGGCATGCTCTCCCCCCAGAGAGTCACATGGCTGGACTTACTTCATTAACTTCTTGAAGTTGCAACTTTTCATTGAGACCTTCCTCAGTACAGCCCTCTCTCTGTTCCTTCTCTTATTCTCTATAGCCCTTGTGATCAATCATCTAATTTTTTTGTATTTTTGTGTAATCTTTCTCCTCTATCCACAGGTAAAGATTTTGTCAGTTTTGCTCTCTTTTGCACTTCCAGTGTTAGAAGCCTACCTACCACACAGAACACACTTATTAAATGTTTTTGAATGAAACACTTATTAAATGTTTTGAATGTGAGTGACTAAGTGGAGAGTAGACACCTTCCTGAAGATTTTGACGCATGTTGCCAATTTTTGGTATCTGTGATGGGTTTGAGATTATATAATTTTTTCATCGTCACTCAACTTAGAAATCAGCTCTGACTCTTGTGCATCTCTTTTAATAAAGAGGGAAACCTTTTTGAAAATCCTTTGCCTTTTTCCCCAAGTCACTGCCTCGGGTGTGAAACCACCATGCTTTGCTCAGGGTTGTCATGGTTCACTTTCAGGTACTGAGGGGTGGTCTGACACCCCTTCCTTATAGGAGAATGCTATGAGGTTCTTTTAGCAAATGAGGAGCTGGCGAATGTCTGTGGAGAATCAACCCTTGATTCATTGACCGGTGCTTTGATTATCTTTTAAAATGGAGCAAAGGTTAATGTGCTTTTGAATAACTTTTATTATTGAAATAACTCATGATCATTATTGAAGACTTGAAAAATACAAGGTAAAAAAATGTTTTTCTTGACATTACTCTGCTCCTCTTTGCATTTTTATATAGGTATAAATATATACCATTAGTTCTGTATATGCTTGTAGCAGTATTTTTATTTAAACCTACAGCAGTAATTTTTTCATAATTTCCTTTTTTTACAAACTGTGCAATTTCATGCCTGTATGATTTTCCACCAACTTGTGTTAAGTTTCATATTGTTTTCCTTTTTTGAATGTAAGTTTGTTTCTCCTTCCCCATTACTATCAATAACAATGCCATTGTATTTAATGTATAATGCTTTTACAGTGTTTAGGGTTTTTAGGGGATAAATTCCCAGAAGTGAAATTGTGTCAAAATTCATGAACACTTTTACTGCCAAATTGTTTTTCAAAAGAATTGTCCGCTTGCACTGCCAGTAGTAATGTTTGCAAGTGGAGCTGTTTTATGTCAATTAATAGTGTATCATAAGGAAATGGTCATCGACCTGTTCCCTTCTGGACCTGTAATAGTTGGAGCTTCATTCCAAGCAAACACTAATAAAAGCTTAAATAACTCTAGTGGCCGTGGTTCAATGGGTCTCTGATGGCAGCTTGTTGCAAATTTTAATAGCCCGAGGGGTTTTAGATCTCCTTTTATTTTCTTTCCCCTCTGCTGTTTTCCTTCCTCCTGGGTTTAAAACATGTTTTCCTGGCTACAGTTAAGCCTTAGTACTTCTTGTTCTGTCTTTGTTGATTAATGAGCATAATTGACCCCTGTTGTCTCTATTATACAAACTGCAGCAATTTGTTTTTATGTAGCAGTTATTTTCTGAGCTGTCACAAAACAGCCTTACAAAGAGAGCTCATTATCAGTTCCCAGGAAAAGAATTTTAAGTGATGAAGTGAATAAAGGTTCCTCAGAGAAGGAGGAGAAGTCTAAGCCGTTCAGATGTTCACGAAAACAAGATTGAGTTCTGGGGCCAGAATAAGTAATTGTTGCTTAGGTGCCAGCAAGACTTGGTTGTATCTTGAAGTTATTAGATTAAAAATGGCTCTCTTCAGAGAGTCTTGAAGGGAGGAGATAGAGGATTGAATATGGAACCAAGATAACATGTAGCCTCCCATTTTATGGCAGGTACACATCTGTTAGAAGTTGGTGGCTATGAAAGTGATCACAGAAAGCCCAGTTAAATGTCTGTTAGTAGGGGGTAGGTAGTTTCTAAGTTGGAAATTTTTGTCTGAATAGATATTGACTGTAAGGAACTGTCATATTTCAAGTTCTGTCAGAAAATGATTTGCTATTCATTTATATAGGGTTTTTCCCCCTATTTTTCTTCTTCCCACATGATCTTGGTGAGATTTCTATTCATTCAAAATGCTAAGGAAATAACAAAAATCCAGAGAATAGATTTGTATTTCAGATGTATCCTCAAAGCTACATACCAGAAGAGACCCACTATCCCCAGTTCTCATTTTCCCCCCTTCTCTGCAATTCAGTTCCAAGGAAAAATTTAGTCCTCCCTTCCTTTCATTTATTTGGGGATTTTCTCACTAAAACCTCAACTCCTTGTTTCTGTGTTACCTTCTGTTATTACTTTTCAAAAATCACCCCTCAGTAGGTTTTTCCCCCCCCCCCAATAGTCTTATGCTTTCCATGAAGGTATTGAGAAGTAAGTTCACATGTACACAGAGTTTACCTGAGGGAAGGTACTAGTATATATTAATATTTCTGCAGAATGAATTGTGTGATGTCTTTTGTGTAATAGCCTATGTCATTTACTCCCCCTTAAAGCATTATATACCCAAAAGCAGGCGTGGATGTGGGTGAATCCTACCCTTTCACCTGATTTCAGGCACTGCATTATGATAATGATTGTTGGTATACCTTACTTGTATGTAGTACTTTATATTTTGCAAAATATTTCATTTGACCTTCATAAAATGTAATGCACTCTCAGGTTTAAGAAAGAACAGCAGGGCCTCCCAGGTGGCGCAGCGGTTGAGCGCCGGGCAGCCTCCGTGGCGCCGGTTCGATCCCCGGCTGCTCCCCGGCCACCGGAGGAGGGTCCCACATGGCGCACAGACCTCTCCTGCGGCCCGCTGCTCCCCTCAGCAGTGTACTTCGGTCCTTCTGCCTGCTCTGCTCCCCGCTCTGGCTCTGGTGAATTCTCTCACCCTCCTGCGCTTCTGACTGTACCCAGTGCTTGTATAAATAAATAAATAAATCTTAAAAAAAAAAAAAAGAAAGAAAGAAAGAACAGCACCTTGGGGAGGGTCTGTTCCTCACCCCTTATAATTTTGATTGCACACATACCCCGAAGTTGATCATTTGCCCAAGATGTAGTTTGATTCATGCTGTTTCATCTGTTTTTTTTTGTTCTGCACAGGCTACTCTGGCCAGGACTTTGACTGGGCCGATTATCACAAGCGGCATGGGACAGAGGAAGCACCTCCTTTTTGCTTCAGAAATGTAAGCAGCACATCTCTTGTTACTTCTTTATCATAAATGTTGTTCACCACAATCATTGTAAGTTGCTTTCTATTTAATGAGCAGGGTTGGAATGCTACCATATAGCACAGGATCCTAAATCTGTCATAATTTCTAATAGGTTTTCCTTTCAGCTGATGTGTTAGGTGAGGTGATACTGGGCGGTAGTAACAGTCTACTAAATATGTAGCTTCTCAAACATGATCTTAGTTTATTTTTCATTCATGGAGGGGCCAGTGTCTTCCTGAATACAGGTGGTTCTTATGGTGAGCCTTGGGCTAGATATGTGTTTGTTTTCATCTGGATCTAGTGAGTAGACAGGCGCAGAGATCAAGAAGATATCTGTATTTCTAAAGACATGGCTAATATTGATGCATTTTAATTTGTTCACCTCCTGCTGGTGGGAGCTTGCACCATGCTATAAGTGAGGCCAGGCATGCTGTGGAAGAAGGAGGGCAAATTTTGGTGGAGAGTTAGCCACCTGCAGCATCAGCTCTCACGTACTATCAAGTATAGTATCGATAAACCCGTTGATGGGAAATTTTCTGCTCATGAAGTATAGTCTTAAAATATGATCTTAAATTTTTAATATTAGTAAGAGACTAGACTAACAATTTTGTCCTTTGTTTATTTGAAGCTGTTTCCTAATTCAAATAGTTATTGGCATAGTAATAAGATTTTTTTGTGACACAGAAAATAGCAATGTGTGTGTTCACACATGTGTACCTGACTAATTATAGGAGTTGATTACATAAAGTCATTTATAAACTATTCAACTAAATTTCATCAACCCTGGGAACTATGAAAAGAGATGAACTATCCATTTAAAGAATGAGACAATGTAAATATATTATTTTGTGTGTTGAGCATATATTTAGTTATGAGAGTAAATTCCTTATGCTAAAAGATGCAGTGTAGGCCTCCCTGGTGGCGCAAGGGGTTAAGCACCGCACTAGGAAGCAGTCCGCAGCCTCTGCAGCACAAGTTCGATCTCCGGCTGGCCAGAGAAAACCCACATGGTGCAGCAGCCCTCTCCTGACTCACCCGCTGCTCCCCTCAGCAGTGTATTTTGATCAGTCTGCCTGTTCTGTTCCCCACTCTGTCTCTGGTGGATCCTCTCACCCCCTGCATCTCTGGCCTGTACCCCAGCTCTTGTATGCATTAATAAATAAATCTTTAAAAAAATAAATAAAAGATGCAGTCTTCCAATTGGGGACCAAGGATACTGGAATGCAAAGTGCTCCCCAAAGACTGATTTTCTACACACGTGCTCCTAGAGTTGCTAAGTCATTGCCACCCAGAATTTATATTATAGAAAGAAACTATATGGAGTTTGAAGAATTAAATAGGTTGCTTACTGGGTCAACTTGTACTCATAAATACAGAAACAAGTCACTGGCAGAGTTGGAAATGAGGACTCCTTAAATGATTAAAAGAATTTTCTATTGGATGACATTGCTACTGCACAAAAGTAGCTTTTCTATAGCATATAAAAGTGTAGGTTGTATGTTGGGGGCTGCTCTGTAACTAACAGGATCATCATGAAGCTAGCAACTGGTTAGCTCGAAAGGCTTATTAAATCCAGTGTGGTCTTATTTTACCTTTTACCTATTGGCATTATTTATCCCTGAGTTGACTGGTCTCATTGCCTTTCATTTAAAATCACAGAGATACTTTATCACAACCCTAAACCCCTCTGAGGTTGTGCTTTCTATCTGACAAGAGAAATAGTCCCATGGGAAGAAGATCCTGAAATCTTCCCCCTCCTACCCCCCAGATCTGTATTTCAGGGGTTGCTTCTTCTGTTACAAAACATATTTCCATTAAAGGCTCTTTTTTCACTCCTCTGCTCCCATGCAGCCAAGTAGATTTTAATAGTGGGGCGAGTAGTCACATCCTCAGGTGTTTCTGAGCTTTCAGGATTTAGCTGCCAAGATTAAATCATATTTAATGAATATGCTGGTGTTTTCATTAGTAATGCACTTGTTACAAATATGCCCCTTTGTTTCTGGCTCTGTGTTTATTTAATCAACAGGATTGTTATCTGCTTGTTGGCATATGCATTGCAATGCTGTTACTTGGCTGAATTTTGTTAACTTGCTACAAGTGTTTTTTAATGAAATGCTTAACGTAAGTTCATTTTTTAGTCACACATCTTTTTGTACTAGAGGAGAGATAGTGTAGAAATGAATGTATAGAAGACATTTCCCAGGGGGTGTTTAACCATCACAGGTACTTCTGAAATGGATTGACACAGCCAAATGCTTAGTAAAATAAACTCACAGCTAACAGTTTTGCTATTGATCCTTTATAAATTGCCCTCAAGCAGTGAGTTGAAACCAAAATAGGTTATGTGGTTGTAGCTTTCTCTTATTAAGTAGGATAAAACACATTTTCGCTTACTTAGAGGCTTTTTAGGTAGCCTATTGAGTTGTATTACCAGATAGAAGCTCAATACATAATAGACATGGATAAAGCAGAATGACTTACAGAAAAGTAGCCCACCTAGAATATCTTTGATTCCTGTTTCTAGAGAAAAATATAAAAGAAAAGAGCAGATTGGTTTCTTAACATGCATTGGATAATTTTTTCTGACTACATACACATCAAATTTTATTTTCAACTTAGTGTATATAAAGATGTATAAATGTGATTTACTTTGGTTTCTTTTCATTAGTCACCTAAAAATATAATCTCAGTTACTTGTGCTTATTATATGATTAAAATTTAACGTAGTGAGTAATATTTAAAAATTTCTTATTTATCTCAAAATAATGTAAGGAGGGAATTTTGCTTCCAGTATTGACTAGGTAAGCTCAAAAGCTGCTTAACCCTCCAGCAATAGCAACTATAAACTCCAGAAAGAACAAAAAACCACTGCCTGAGGGATGCAGAGAATGAACCAAAAAACGGGCAGATTTTGAAAGCAAGTGGATGCTTAGAAAAAAGGAACAGTAGCAGTGATTGTTCCATGATTTTCAGATTTTGGGCCTGAGTCAGCCACATTTGACAACATTCAGAATAATATGAAAGAGACTTTCTACCTAATGAACCATATAACAGAATTTGGACAAACACAGCTCCGAGAAAGTGAGAAGAGACTCAGATAGGGAGTCCCAGAAAGAGAGAATCACAAGTTCTATGTATAAACTTTGCCTAAATCTTTAGCTAGTTCTTAACAATTTCTTTATGTAGCTTGGCTAGGGATGAAGGAACTAAATTGAGATTTGAATTTCTTCTTAAGAGTAGGAGTTTATAGTTTGAGTCTAGTCAAATTAATTGCTGGCTGATGCAAAAACAAAACAAAAGAACAAACCCAGCACTCTTTAGATAAATATAACACAATCCAGAGGTCACTATAACATAACGTTTAAAACATGCAGGTTTCAATCTAGAGTTGCTCAACACATGAAAAAGTAGGAAAATCTGACTTATTCTCAATAAACAATATAATCAGCAGAGACCAAATAGAACATAACTCAGGTGTTAGAATTAGCAGACAAGTGTTTTTAAATCCCCTACTGTAACTCAGTGGTGTGAAGCTATGATTTCCAAATTGTTGTCCTTGGGCCAGCAGCTTCAGCTTCACCTGAGAATTTACTAGAAATATAAATTCTTTTACCTCACCTTAAATCAAATGAATACAATTTTTGGAGTGAGACCCAGAAGTCTTTATTTTTAAAAGTCTCTCCAAGTGATTCTGAGACACCCTAAATTTGAAAACCTTCACTGTAAAAGAAATTATTCTCATAATGAATGAAAAGATAGAAAGTTCCAGAAGAGTGGAAAGCATGAAAAAGAGAAATCCTAGAACTGAAACTCCATTATCTGGTAAACAAATTCATTGGCAGGGCTTCATAGCAGAATGGAGATGACAGAGGAAAGAACCCATGACTTTGAGGATGGAAATTATCTTCTCTGAGGAACAGATAGGAAAAAAAAAATTGGGAATGGGGGAGACAAACAATATCCAATATCTGGAGGAGAAAAGGATATATAATTAAAGACCCAGAATGTATGACCACAGAGACTGGAGAAAAAAATGTATGAAAAATTAATGGTCAATATTTTGTCAAAGTAGCTGAAAGACCTAAATAGTTTAACAACCTCAGAAAGCTCTTACCAGCCTAGTACAAAGAAATCCAACAAAAATCAAATTATTGGTACAAACATATGGAGAAATAGCTTGAAAGTATCTGGAGAAAAATATGATACCCTCAAACAGAGGAACAACAATTTGAATAATAGACTTCTCATCAAAAACAATGAGGCCAGAGATAGTGAACCAGCATCTTTAGAATGCCCAAAGAAAGAACACTGTAATTCTATATCCAACAAAAAAATCTAAGTCCTGAATAGAAGATAAAAAAAGACACTTTATTAAAAACAGAAGCAAGTGAAAAAATGCTGAACTTCATTATTCCTAGGGAAAATGCAAGTTAAAAGCACAGTGAGCTACCTACCTAGCAGAGTGACTAAAATTTGAAAACGTGGCACAACCAAGTGTTGGCAGGATGTTTAGCAACTGGAACTCCCCATTTTGTTGATGGGAATGCAAAATGATGTGTTGGAAAAAAACAGTTTCTTAGAAAGTTAAACACACATGTACCATGTAGCATTTATTTCTAGACAAATGAAAACAGACTTACTGACCGAAAGCTATCCCTCCAAAGCTCAAGCCCTAATCTTCAACATCTCAGAATGTTGCTGTATTTGGAGTGAAGGTCTTTAAAGAAATAATTTAGGTAAAAATGATGTTATATATGTGGGCCTTAATCTAAACTGAAAAGAAGATTAAAACCCAGACCACATGTGTAGAGGAAAGAGCATGTGAGTCGATGGGCATCGGCAAGCCAAGGAGAGAAACTTCAGGCGAAACCAGCCCTGCCAACACCCTGCTATTGGACTTCCAACCTGCAGAATTGGGACAGTAAATTTCTGTTTTTAAGCCATACAGTGTGTGGTGTTTTGTTAGAGCAGCCCCAGCAGTTTTGTTCATACAAAAACTTGATTTGAATAATTATAGTGCCTTTATTCATAATCACTGAAAATGGAAACAATTTGAATGTCCTTCAATTGCAAAATGGATGACCCAACTGTGGTCCATCTATTGAAACTACTCAGTGATAAAATTCAGTGAACTGCCAATACACGCAATAGTGTGACTGCCTCTCTTGAATGTCATCCATGTAGTTAGTGAAAGAAGCCAGAATATGTACTATATGAATCCATTTATGGAATATTATGGAAAGGTGAAACTGCAGGAACAGAAAATAGATCAGTGAGTGGGCTGCTGGAGGGATTGAATTTTATGAAAGGAGTGGTAAAGGGTGTTTTGGAGGTGAAGGAACTGTTTTGTATCTTGATTGTGTTATGATCACGTGATCATGCACCAAAAAGAATGAATTTTCCTATATGTAAATTTTTTAAGTCAATTTAGAAAGTAAATAAAATATAAACAAAAGCATAAAATAAAAACAAAGGCGATATCAGACAGAAGAAAACTACTGACATTCATTACCAGCAAACAGGCACTAAAAGAAACGCTAAGGGACATTCTTCAGGCTGAAGGGAAATGATGGCAGGCAGAACCCCAGTCTTTCTTGTTAAGTACCCCTTAATGTGCCAGGTATGATGTGAGGAATATAGGGAAAGAGAAGAAATGGTTTGTGCCCCTGTGATTCTGTAGAAACATCGTGCATGTGGAACTGGAAAAGAAAACGTGATTGATGGTGCGTTCAGATGACATTATTAGGCACCAGAGTTCTAACTTCTGGGATACAAATGAACAGCACATGGTTCTTTTCTCATGAATGGTGGGAGACAAATGCAACCAAACCAGTGTATTTTATGAAAAAGACCTGTGTGTGTACACGTGTGGATGTGTGCATTTCAGCTTCTACACAATTGTGCTGGTGTCTGCGGGTTCAGTGTCAGTTCTTTCTCTTTCAGACATCATTCAGTCGGGGTTTCACAAAGAATATGAAACTTGAAGCTGTAAACCCCAGGAATCCAGGAGAACTCTGTGTGGCCTCTGTCGTCAGTGTGAAGGGGAGGTTGATGTGGCTTCACCTGGAAGGTATGCGTTGTCAGCCATCATTCTGAAGACTCAGAGTCCATCTGTAGAGAATGAGATGCAGGGGAACACCAGCCTTTCTCAGAGATGCCTTTTGCTTTCCTTTTATTTAAAGAGATCTTAAATTATTCAGTGTTCTTAAATAAGTGAAACTAATCAAATATAAATTCATTCAGAGGCACTCATTTTAACTAATAATTTCATGAAATGAGATGCTGGTGTGATAATTATGTTTGGAACACAGTGGTCTTTTTGCTTCTATGATTATGAAAGCTAATGTCACAATTAAATTAGTATGAGTCACTAAAACTGGTATTTGAGGTCTTGGTTATTATGGTGATAAAATTATGTATTTGCATTTTAATATGAATAATACTCTTTTACTTTGATGTCTCCTTTAGATGTTTAATTTTTCCTTAAAATAGTAACTGGAGATGATTTTTCTCTCCAAATGTATAATAAATAGGATTTAGGCTTGTTTGCTTAATGATGTATAAACTGTTGGTTATAGCTTCATTTTATTTGTAATTGTATAGATAATTCACAGAACATTGTACTTTGTAAGCAGAATCTAGAATAGGTTTTGAATTTAGATAGAAGTCTAGATTTTCTAGACATTATATCTCAATGAGAGAGACTTAAAATTAATTTAATCTCTAACATCTTCCCAACTTTATCTGATTTAAAATTCTTTGGTTTTATTTTTGTTTGTTTGATGATTTATTTTTCATTTTCATTGCACTCAATAGTAATTTCAAGTGTATATTGAAAAGCAGTAAGACTGGATATGAATTATAAAATAATGCCAACTTTCCTGGTTCATATTTTAAGTCTTATGACATAAGTCATTCCATCATTAGAATTGAAAGTTTGAAAGGTCATAAAATTGGTGCTGATATCTTCAACCTTAATCCTTCAGTAAACAAGTCTAAAAAGCAATGAGAGATCTGAGATAGGCCTACAGTCTCCTAGATAACATAGTGTAAGGAAGTGGGATTGGTAGAGAACAGTGATTTTAGCTAATGTTCAAAGAAATTACTTTAAACCATTGCTCTGATAGAGGATTTCAAAATCAATTTGAAAGAAAAGGAAATTCTCAAAATGTTGACTGCTTAGTGGATTTTTAAGCAGAATGGCCTGTAGTTGGAATTAGCCAAAATTAGACACAGGCAAATGGCAATGTTTCTGCAGCAACTGGGATGGAACATGCCCTTATTTTCATCGCTCTGTATAAAGTGGAGTCAACTGCTCTTGGAAAAACAAGATCCCTTTTGTAGCTTGTGATCCGTAAATTGAATTTGCTCCCTAATACTATGCTAATAAGCCTTGCTATGAGATTGGAGTCTTGTTTGCAGTTTAATTTGAAAACAAAAGATTGTGAAGTTTGAAGCCTATGTTTCATCATTATTACTTAGCACATTGTGGTTAAAATTCTTTGACAGTCATTATTTATTTAGCAGTTAGTGCTTCTGTAGTGCTTTACAACTGTTAATTACCTAACACAGACAGCAGTAAGAGTGTCCTGATTTTTATAGATGGAGAAACTAGCTAAGCCATTAAGATATGCCTGGGGTTCAATTTCATTGCTCTTGACATCTATTTTGTTGCTTAATTCACCAAACCCTGCAGCTTCCCAATTCTTAAAAAGAATGATGAGCAACATTTAGTTTATATTTAACATTTTTGACAGCCTTTTCTCCTTTTGCTGTTTTTTTTTGGATATAAATTTCTGGTTTTATGGCAACGAAATGTGTCAGCTCATGTCAGCTTTTTCTTATTCTCTGGAGTGCTGAAATTAGTTAGCATTAGGAAGGATATCAGCAAATAGATGGTCTATTTTGTCTGACTTTACACATGAACGATTTTTTAAAAACCAATCTGTTGAATAATAACTACCTGGAATTACTAATCAAAATCGTGCTTTTGACTCAAACTTGAAACATAGAATACATACAAAGTAAAATTCCGTTCACTCTCACTGATCTTACTTGGGTTTTTTGGGAGGATTTGTTTTGTTTTTGACCCTTACTGAACATTTAATTACTAAAGTGACAGCAAGCTTAACAATGCTATTTATCATCACTCACAGTTTTTTGTATATAATGTTTTCTTTCCTTAGCCCTGGAGACAAAAATGTTAGTGGTTCGCTGTGGCCATGTTGTAGCTGTTACATTATTTTTATGATGATGATGATGATGATGATGATACTGATTACGGATCATTCAGCTGACACTTTAAGCATATAAAGCAGCTCATAACAATTTATTAGTTTTTCATGTATTAAATTGATTTTAAGCTTTTTCAACACATTAATAATTGACCATTTTTTGATAATTAAAGTGATTGTTTTTGTTTAATATTTGACTTCTTTTGAAGTCATAGTTCTTTAAGTATATAAAGGATCTGATATTGAAGAGCAATGAATAAAAGATGTGAGATTAGTGTAATATTTGAAAAGAATTTCAGGCTCTCACAAACTGCTGACAGTGAGCAAGGGCAGTTTTGATGATGGAGTTTTGTGTTTTGGAAAGGGTATCGCAGTGTTTTCTCTTATGTTAATATTCTGCCCGAGGTAATCATATCTATAATCATGAGCATTATTGTGTAATAAAAATTGCTTTCAGTCCTAATGTCTAGCTTTGCAGCCACACACACTAGCTCCTAAGTCTGCATTCTCACTATGCAAGTGAGTTTCATTGGGACAAATAGGATTTGGGGGGTTCTACCCTTCCTCATGAATAGCTCCCTCAGCGCGTTTTACATCACCTTCTTTGGTTTCTCTTATCCCGGTCATTATCAAGATTATTTTCATCCTGTTTAAAAGAGATGATATGCTCTATATTCCTGAGTATATTAAGTATTTTAGCCTTTTTAGTTGAGGCAGAATTTTCTTTTATGTCACCAAAAGACTGACTAACAGGCTTTATTTCTGCTATGTTATTTAGTGCTTTTAGTTGTTGCCACTACAGAAATTGCTGTTGAGGGCAGCAAACCCTGGCTTTGAAGTTGGGAGGTCTGTTACAATGAAAACAGACAGGAGTTTTTGGTTTGAGCTTTTGTACTTCAACCATAGGGAGGAAGTGATGGCCCCACATGGTCAGTTTTTTCTTATGCTTGGTTCAGTTCTACTAAACTATCCTGCCCATCATAATTAATTGAGGGGGTGGGCATTCTATTGGCATGCAAGTTCCTGGGGCCATGATAGACCTAGTGCATCTTTCTCCCTGGATGTATCTTAGACAGACTATAGTTTGTAAGTGAGTCTAGGAGATGAAGCTGGCAAGGCCTGACATGGCTTAGAGAAACTTGTTTGAGGCAACTTGTTATGATTAGGAAACCAGGTGCAAAAAACTGCCCCCCTAAGCCTTTCTGTAATTTGTGAAAAAGTCAGGTGGTTAATAAGCATTTCGCAGAGATTTGCAAAAATGAAACAAGGAAAAATGCAAATGTGAAAGTAATTTTATTTCAAACCAGTGTGACTAGTTTTAAAATCTTTACAAAGAGGTTTGGTCAGCCTGAGACATTTTTGGGAGAAGCTGCTTCAGCATGTCAGGATAGAAAACAATATTTCTTGGATGGTTAAAAAAGGTAGCCCAAGAAAGGTCTCTGGGGAAAAGGACTTCCAATACTCCCAAATCTGTTTTGCTCCAAAAGCCCGGGCTTGGTTAGATAGGTTCTTGGTGGAGAGAAGCAGAACTGGCTGTGCCTGTCTCATAGAAATGGGAATTTTATTTTATTTTATTAAGGATTTATTTATTTATTTATTATTTTATACATTTTTTACATCATTTTTCATTTTTGCACAATGTATGCATTTTCATCTTGGTTATAGTCCCCATACAATTCCTACCCACCTTGTTTTAATCCTACTCCCTCCCCTACCCCCAGTGTGTCTCTGGTTTATAGTTGCTTGTTGATTTTGAGACATGGGAATTGTAAGGGAGGGCCTTTGATAGGAGGATGGGAGATCACCTTTGCATCAGGAACAAAAGCAACGGATGGGTTTCCTAGCTGCCTTTATGATGAGTGTGACCTCTAAGGGATCCTGTTCTCACTCCAGAGGCTGAGTCCCTTGAGGGGAGCCCTCGCCTGAGCCCGTTTGCCTCCCAGAAAGGTAGAGCTGCTCATTGCCCTTCCGTGCTAGGAGGCAGTGGCTGCCTTTTGAGGGGGCGCTCCTGAACAGTTACAGCCCATAACTGGGACACTCCGAAGAATGAGAGAGATGGTAGGCAGCTGCAACCCTCCCCCAACTGACTCTCCTCAAAAAAAAAAAACAACCCCACAAACAAAGAAGACAGAGAAAGAAAACTGCCCACCTCAAATGGTTTCTAACCCAGAGCTGGATTGGTTAGGCTCAAATCCTGGATCTGCCACTTAATAGCTATTTGATCTTTTCCTGTGCCTCCGTTTACTCATGAATAAAATGGGCCTGGAAATAGTCCCAATCTGTTAGGGTTGTGTGAAGATAAACACTTGGTGAAGTGTCGGACCTATCTTACGCTGAAAGGGTTCCAGTCCTGGAAAAGTACTCGCTTCACATTGTGCCATTTTTGTTGTTTTCCTGCAGATTGTCTATTTCCTATGCTGTCTTGTCCTTGTCACTGACAGCTTTGCCCATCTCTCTGTTCCTTAGGAATTTCTCTCTAGACTTGACAAAGAGATCCTCTGAAGCCTTGTTTTGTAGCACTGCATCTGCAGGTGGAAGAAGCGTGGCAGATGGCTTGCATTGTTCCTGGCAGCCCCTTCTTGTGCACTCCTGGATGAGCAACTGACTCCTCATTCTGGCACTTTACCTTTGCGTCACATACCCGAGCCCTTACAACTTGGTGTGGCCTTTAGCTCTCGATGAGGGGACTGAAGGTTAACTCCTTCTTTAGTTGAATACCTCGAGCCTTTCTTCACATCCCAGCTTTTAACTGAGATGAAGGAGTCATTCAGATCCTATTACCGAAGCCAGTAAAAACCATTTACCTTCCTCTGAGGCTGACTTAATCCCCTTGCCTCTAGTCCACCAGTGGCATTTCCCACTCTGTGCTTTTGCCCACGCTTATGTTCTTCCATAATTTGCTGGCAGTGAAGTAATTATGTAATTTTAGGAGTTTGTGCTCTTAGGAAGATACTTAAGCGTCATCTCCCTTTTCATCCTGCTGTCTGAATAGAACAGGTCACCCTTTCCTTCCTGGTGCCCTGTGGCACCTATTGGATCAGCAGTTACCATCTCTGCTTGAGAAGGGCAAGTAGAACATTGTACAAGTGGTCTGAAAATTTGGGCTCAGGATAGAGCAAGTGGCAGAAGTGACTCTTAAAAATCTACATGCTACGACATTTTCTTTGTGAGGATGAAAGGCCTATCCTCCTAGCAGTGTGGTTTAGTTTTCTTAAATTTTCAGGTAACTTGCAGGTAACATAATGGTGACCACTGGTAATAATAATAGCTGTAATAAGAATTGGCTGTGAAAGTATTCAGAACATTTTAAATACACCAGCGCATTGGTTTGGCACTAAACTGGGAACGTACATTTATCAAGTAATATGTGTAGTCCATTTTCACAATATCTGTTTTATGACTAGAAGGGGTTATGAAGCCGTTGTAATTTGCATCAGAGTTAAATGGCCAGGACCATTTTGTGCGTGCTGGTATTTAGCTTCATGAAGTTAGGATTTTTTTTTTTTGGGTGGGGGGGCATGTCATTAAAAATCCATCAGCTGTCATGTGATGACATGGCTCTGTAATGGAGACCAACTGTGTTCTTTCCCTTGGTTCTCGATGAAGAAACCAAATCAAAGCAGTTAAAGTGGTCAGAGCCAGTGACTCCCTCTCTATTCACAGAGCTCTTACTTTGATTCTTGGTTTAGGAGCATCTTCCCTCAAAGTGTATGCATTTTATTTTATTTTTTTAAAGAACTATTGAGTCACTATAGAATCTTCTTTTCTCTAGTTGGCTGTTCTCACAGTAGCCAGGGTTCCTTGAAACTTTTGCTCATGACCTATCCAGATCTTCTCTTTTCAGAGTCTCCCCTATGATGTTGATGATTTATCACAAGGCATCATTATGATTAAGAAACAGGATGTGATAGTTAAGCAATCTCCACTGCAAAGATATTACTACATATTGACATTTGTGTGACAGGGCAAAAGATCCCCATTGAGTTCAAAATAAGTAATTCCAATAAACTAATAAATGAATAAGTTTTCTAGAGAAATTGTGTTGTCTGTGTCCACTGCTCATAAGTGGTGTTATAGAGTCTTCCTCATTCTTTCAACTGTAGTGTCAACTTGTCTGGTGGGGGATGAAGTCTCCATGGTGCCCTGTGGTCCTCTCCCCAAGCTTGGCCATATTTCCTTAATTTCAAAGCTATTTTGAAGACAGGAGGATACTTCTTTTCTCTTCAGCTTTTTGGGTCTGAAGTTAGTTTCTGGATTTCTCCCTCCTCTTCCTGTTTTAAATGGAAGTGTCTCTTTTTCCCAAATCCCCATTTAACTTGCACCCCCTTGAACTCTTGTTGATTTATATTTCAGGCATTTATATCTACTGTAAGACTGTCATCATTTTTTATGTTTAACATTTAGGAGGGTCTTTTCTCTACCTTAGGGATGCACTCTGATGCTGTGTCTTTGTTGGTAAAGCCTGTTTATAACTATGAATTGACTTTTTCCAATGCAGGTCTGCAGACTCCGATTCCAGAGTTCATTGTTGATGTGGAATCAATGGATATTTTTCCAGTGGGCTGGTGTGAAGCAAATTCTTACCCTTTGACCACACCACACAAGACTGTCTGTAAGTGCTGTCTAGTTTGGAGCTGAGGTGGATAACATCTGGGATATGGGGGAATAAATAAGCAGTTTTGTAAAAATACAAATTTGTAGAAGCCAAAAACACGTTTAGATGTTCCACAGAGCGCCAGTATTTCTCCATCCTGGTTCTGTCAATTCTACCCAAGATGGGTATTTGGGAGCATTTCATAGGTTAACAAACTTAAACCACAGTGATGAGACAATTGGAGGTCAAATAGAGTCAGAGAGAAAATATTTAGGCTCTTCATTTCCAATTTTGTATGCACTTCATTAGTGTGAACAGAAAAAAATAAGGTAAATAGTGTAATTTTGTGTTATCATGTCTCTGAAAAAGCTAATATTTTCTCATCAAGTTTACCCCCAAAGAATTATGATTGATGCCAACAATTTACTGACATAGTAATACTTTTAACTGCTCTTAGCAGTAATTAACTGGTGAGATTCAATTGTGTATTACATCATCTCCTTCTGATGACAAAATACTAAATTAAAACAACACTACTAGTTAACCGAAACAGAAAAAAATCACAAACACACACATACTTACAACATATAAAACACATACAACAGTGTTTTTTAACGTGCTGTTGTAATTATCATGAAGTGACACCATTTAAATATCTTCAAACCTAATAATTTTTAGCATTTGCTATTCCACCCTTAAGGTGCATCAAAAAGGTTGTTTAAAATTGTGGGTCCTTAAAGATGCGGGGGTTCTTAATTTTTTAGTGAAATATATTTCTAATATTCTTCAAATAATTTATAGCACAATTCTACTCTCTGCAGCATCCTATTATATGCTGTTTATGTAGATTTGTAGAACTTTGCTCTAAAGAAAATTCCATCCCATAATTAGTTTCCCAGTCCCTATTGTCAACAGATTCTGAAGGGCACTTGCGTCTACTCCTTACTCATTAAGAATCAGATGGGGGCCTCCCTGGTGGCGCAGCAGTTGAGCGCTGGATTGCGAAGCTGCCCGCAGCCTCCGCAGTGCTGGTTCAATCCCCGGCTACTCCCGGCCACAGGAGGAGGGTCCCACATGGCATGCAGACCTCTCCTGCTGCCCGCTGCTCTCCTCAGCAGTGTACCTCGGTCCTTCTGCCTGCTCTGCTCCCTGCTCTGGCTCTGGTGAATTCTCTCACCCTCCCGCACTTCTGACTGTACCCAGTGCTTGTATAAATAAAAATAAATAAATCTTTAAAAAAAAAAGAATCAGATGGGCTTTATCTCTATGAAATTAAGTGTATGTAGTTGAGAGTAGAAACAGGTGGATTTGAAAGACTTCTCTTACACTCCAGTGTTCAATGAATCGGATCCAGTGAAAGGATCTTTAAGATATTTCTAAAATTTTAAGCTTAAACTAATTATTTCAATTTCAAGGGTGTCTTTTTTTGCCTTAAAAATAATGCCCCTTTTCCATTTTGCTCTTTGCAGGCTGGCTGTGCTCAGCTCCTTACAGCTCAATGTCCCCATACTTATTAACAAAGACTTGGTTAGACAAATTATTTTATTCTCTTTTTCACCTTAGAGAGCACAAAGTTTTTAGCTTTTCATGGTAATGACTAGAGTTAAATACTAAATAAAGCTAGGTGAAGAGATTTTAGTGTTATTATTATTTAGTCTTGTTTTCATTTCTAATACAGGCATTTTGCTTTCTTAAAGAAGCAAACTAAACTAAACCCACCAATTTCTGTCAACTTTAGAAGTTTTGTTAGAATTAATTTATACTTATGTCGGAAGATGCAGAATTATCTGTATCAAAATTAATAGATGCCAAAAGGACTGGTCTTTGTGATGATTCTAATCAATTATAAATGAAAACTAGAGATGTTTTATTCAAAAATAGTATTATATGCTAGTTTATTGTCAATATTTAATGGGCATATTTGATAGGTATCAATCCTCTTCAGTAATAAAGATTTTAGTTTAAAAACGCACCATTAACACTAATTTAGGAGTTATTTTGGTGACATTTGACTTAACACACTCTCTGTGGGGGAAAAAAATATTCTGGATAGTCACACTAACAATATATCTTGCCATGTATTCATGTGTGACCACTCTTTTTCTATTAAAAAACACATTTGAAAATAAAGTAGCCAATGTAGTGATAAGCTTAAATGTGCTAAATTTTATTGAAGCCCCATTTCTGATGAATCAAAGCACTAATATATTCAGGATGAAACTAATATAAAATCGTGACATGAATGAAGTAACTTCTCAGTATTCAAATTATTCAGTATTCAAATTGCTACTTTAAAACGGACACCATTTTACACTAAGCTATTTTTTAAAATGCTTTTGACCAACTAGCTAACAAAGCCTATTTTTTTTCCTGTTTGCCTGTTTTACAGCACAAAAGAAAAGAAAGATTGCAGTCGTGCAGCCAGAGAAACAGTAAGTTTTGTGGTTTTTCTTATTTCAAAAACTACATAGTACTTTTTGGAGTGTCTTTATGGAGGACGGGCAACATGGCTGTTTTATTAGAGAGTTATGTTAAACGGTTCAATAGCGAGGATGACAGTAAAATATATCCACTGTGATTTATTGTGCACCTACTATGTACAAGAGACGGGGCCTGCTTCTAATGGGTTCATACTCCAGATTGTAATTTCTGCTTTCATCCCTTGTCAACATACCTGAGAGACAGTCCAGTCTCACAACTGGATAACAGTGGTCTTTAATGCCCAGGGTGCCACAGAACTGCCCAGTCTTGCCCAGGGTGCTGACTGGACCTGGTGGCTCTGCACTTCCCTGCTGGGTGCACTTGAACAAGTTGCCTTAGTTCTCTGCTTCTCAGCATCTTTATTGTATAATACCTATTTTCTCAAGGTTATAATGAAGATTAAATTAGATTCCATGTGAAAAAATTTGTGGACCCTAAGCTGTTGAATAAATGTAGATTACTCAGCCTTTCAGTTGTAGTCTTATGAGAGAGTATTCAGGCAGAGGGTGTACCTGTAAGCACTTATGTCTTTGGAAAACTGTAGCTGTTGGTAACGTTTTTATATATTGAAAAACATTGAAAATCCATTAACATATACATCTCTTGCCAAGTGATTCTGTTTTCTTCATAAAAATATACTGATGGAAAGGGAATGGCAAACAGCATTTCTTCATGTGCCACTTAAAGTTAAACTTTAAAAGAAATCAAATAATACCTGCATTGCTGTTTGAATGGGAATAACATTTTCGTGGGGATTTTTGGCACATTCATTGCTAAACTCAGGGTATCCGTTAGTAATTTAAATCTAATTTTACTTGGATAACTTTGGAGTAGAGAGAGTAAATAATAAAATCATGGTCCTATAACTGAATCCACATTTGAATTACAACTCCTAAACTGGCATTCTGAGGACCAGCGAGTCTCACTCTTTACTTGCACCAGAGAGCTTGTTAAAACAGAGCACTGGTGAAAATGCATACATTGTACAAAAATGAAAAAATGATGTAAGAATTATATAAAACAAAATATTTTTAAAAAGGTAAAAAAAAAAACAAACCAAAAACAGAGCACTGGGCTTCAGTTTCTGATTCAGGTTGTCTGCAGTGGGGTACAAGCACTTGCATGTCTGGCAAGTTCCCAGGTGATTCTGATTTGCCAGCTTAGGGAACCCCACTCTGAGAACCAGGCTATAGACCCCTTGAGGATCTCTCAAAATGGTTTATTTTAAATGTGCATCACAGTTATATTGTGTGGCTCCTGCACAGCCAACCTGAACACCCACTGTGAAGCCCAGTTCACCAGGCCTCCCTAAGCTACATTTTTGTCTTTCATCTTCATTCAGCAACTTTTCACTAAACTTTAACAAAGTGCTTAGTCTTAGACTAAACCTTAGACTTCACATCTTTTGAACCATCACAGCTTCTTAAGAACATGTGTGGGTTTTCCTTGAAGGTCCTCTCTTCCTTGAAGGCAGATCACCTGCACAGACACCAGAAATCAAAGGTCAGCAGAAAGTGGTTTTCAAGTAGACATTGAAGTGAAGTCTGACTGTAATTAAATGCAAGTTACTGTTTCTTCATGTCTAAAATGTAATTAGGGATATTACTACAATTCTGTGACAAGGTGCCAGCCCAGCAGCAGTCTGCAAGGACTTCTTTGATCAGTGGAGACTGCTCAAGGGGCAAATGTTCCACACGCTTCTTCATGTCCTTAAAGAATCTGAGAACAACTGTCGCCAGTGATCTTAGCTGTTCTTATTGACTGGCCCGCATGTACTCACCCTATCTTACTGGATTCTTGACTAGGGTTTTTTTTTTTTCAATAGTCATGTGAAGTTAGGAAAAGACATTGAAATTTACTAGTTTCTTCTAAAGTGAGTGACTACTGATAGTTTTATTCTCTGTATTTACAGATTACCATCCACAGTGCCTGTTGAGAAAATACCTCATGACCTTTGTTTATTCCCTCACCTGGACACCACAGGTAAATGAGGATTTTATGTCCTTCCCTAACTTGTTGCTGAGAGTAGAGACATGATTATAACTTTAACTTTAGGTCAATTGGAGAATATCCTAACTTGAGCCTATGTTCTTTTTCTCTTGCTACTTAGCAATTGCACTTTCTGTTTTAATTTCTCAGCTAAGTTCTCTGTGCTTTTTTTTTTAATTAAGCTGCTTGGTCAGTAGCTCTAGATACTTCTTTAGGTCTTCGGGAAAAGAATCCATGTGACTTTTGGAAATTACAAGCACAGTTAGGACTGTGTGTCATGGAAGATCATATGGGAAAATGAGGAGCTGAAAATATCATTGCTAAAATAACATTTCTGTTTTTTAACATTTTATGCCATCTCCACTTGCATTCTTACACTAGTGGTTAATACTTAAGTCCCTGCAGGTTTTTGAATTGTTTCTTTAAACCACCTGTGTTTGCATAACTTGTTGTGATTAATATATAAATATAAATGTATAAAGTTCTATATCTTCTAACAACCTTTGAAAACACAAATATGAGTCATCCTTTGACCACAAATCTGATTATAGACATATTTGTATAGCTCAGTAATATATTTGATTAAGAATTCTATTTTTGAGAAAAATGAAACCTGCTCTGAATTTCGGTATTCAAACCTATATGCCGTGGAAAAATCCTATTAGTCAAAGTTATCTTTGCTGTAAAGAGAGCAATTTTCTTAGTAGACTTACTAAAATTGTTTTCTTCTGAAGTCTGGGCAGGGTAATCCTACCAAAAAATTTTCCATGTAAATGTAGCTGTAGACTTAATTTCCTTGTCTATTGTATAGAATTCAAACTTTAGAATGGTTTTATAGGAACCATATCAGCGACTCTTTCAATGTCTATTTTATCCCCTTTGTCTTATGTCCAGAAAAGATAACAATTCTCCTATCCTACCTGTTCTTAATTGAAGAACTATGAAAATAAGCCTTCCTGGACCGTTAAATGACCCTCCCAAATTAATAACAGTATTTGTACAGAAGCACCACTGTTCACATAGCTTATAGCAGTGGTGGGGGGAAGTGAGTTTCTTAGCTGAAAGTGAAACTTCATTCTGCATTTATAGACATCAAGAAGGTTTAATGTATATGTTAGCATTTAGTTATTCTTTTTCCCCATGGCTGCTTGAGACAGAATGAGACCACCAGTGCGCTCTGTTCACTTTCCAACTTGAAATCACAATGAAAGGAAACTCAGATTTAAGCTACTCTAAAGTACATTTCATGTCCATTAGATTGGCAAAACCAAGTTGACAATATCTAGAGGTGACTAGTTTGTGGGGCAATGTGATGCTGATAGACACATAGATTGGGGTGTCTCTCTTTGGACCAGTTTGGCCTCGTCTAGTAAAACAGAAGCTGTAGACATCATGGCCAAGCATGTCCCTCCTTGTTACATACTTGTAAGAATTTCTTGTCCAGAAGCCAAAGTAGATTTTTATAGTTGAATTTGTCAAATATTTAACAATATAAATATTACTGTTGGTAATATTTAAAAAAAGAAACAATGACATTTCCTTCAATACAAGAATGGAAAATCAGTTATGTGAATTATTTATACAATAGAAGACATGCACAAAGCTGAAAAACTGAAGGAAAGTTCAGATATACATTTGCCAACTTGAATCTCAGAGTCTTTATGTTGAGCAAACAAAATGTTGTATTTAGGAAATATTTTTAATATGCCCAAAATATCATATATTACTTGTCAATATCCGCATGCAGATGTATGTAGCAAAATTTATAGATTAGAATAGAATGGTAAGTTCCAGATTCAGGCTAGTAGGAAGGGGAAGGTAGACTAATGGAGGACTTAACTGGGTAGCTGATATTGTTTTTTCCTTAAGCTGCATATGATGACTTAGTTGTCATTTTGTGTGTGTTTTTTGAACAGAAACATTCATTTTTATGGTAGAAAAAAATAATCGGAATTGCTAAGATATTATAGCTCTAAATGTTCTGACAGTCAGGTGCAGTGCTTCTCCGGGTAGTTTTGTCAGCTAAGTGGATTAAGCAATTTCTTTGTTGTTGGTTCCTAAAGCATCAGCTGTGTTGCTCTTCCCCGCAGGTACAGTCAACGGGAAATACTGCTGTCCTCAGCTTTTCATCAACCACAGGTGTTTCTCAGGCCCTTACCTCAACAAAGGCAGGATCGCAGAGCTGCCTCAGTCTGTGGGGCCCGGCAAATGTGTGCTGGTCCTCAAAGAGGTAAATCACAGTTGGTTGTTTTTACAGAAGGCCAAAAGTGGAGGCGCACTTTCTGAAGGCCATGCAAACAATTTGAATCCATTCAGGGGACATGTTTCAAGCACCTGCTACATCTCAGTCCTGTGGCTAGATGCTGCCAATGCGAATACGGTGTCCCTGCCATGAATGACACAGTTTGGGGAGAGAGATACTCATCCCCCAAATGCTGCACTAGATATAAATAAAGTGCTTCAGGAAGATGGGAATGGATCTATTGTGTGTGGAATGAGGGCTTTGGGGTTGGAGAGTGGAAGTTTTTTTGAAGAGGTGCGCAGCCTAGACAGGCAGTAAGAAAGGACTTTCCAAGACAATTTAGGGTATCGTGAAGAATGGACACTTCTCCACAGAGTGAGGCGTGGCATCTTCTTTTCCCTCCCCCCTGCAGTATAGCGCCTGTGCCCTCACGTGTGGGATAAATGCTCCAGAGGCCCCCAAGTGCTGGCCTGAGCTGCGTCACGGGCTGCCTTCTGGCAAAGCCCATCCCACCCATCATTTTGATGGCATTATTTCCCATGATACCTCCCACCTTCAGGAGACGACCTACAGATGGAGGTATAACCCCCACCTTGGTAGAGGTTTTTCTCTCTTCTGAATTTTTATAGCTTAACCCCACACAGTATTTGGAGATGGATTGCAATTTTGGAACTCTTTCCAGCTTGTTCTTAAAACTCTGTCTCTGCTTTTTGCACAAGGTCCTAGTTTTCTTTTAAGAGAGAGGGCACTGTATATGTTTTCTTTATTGCTACTGTAGCATGATGAATATATTTTAATTCCTTGGGCACAATGATCCACGTAGCTATGGAACAAATGTTTTGTTTGGCAACTTCTAGAGCCAGATGTTGCATGAAGACCCGGGTCAAAAAAGATCTGTCTTTGGCTTCTTGGGGCTTCACTTTCTTGTTAAGGAAATGACATAATTCTGAACTAGATGTATGGTTAGGTGTGTACTCAAAACAGACCAGAGCAGAGTGTCCTGGGAGCCTGGAGGAGGTGACAAACGTCTGGCTGGTGACATGTGAGCTTGCTTGGACAAAGTGAGTAGGACCTTGAAGATAAAGTAGATTAGGCTACCAGATGGAAATTGAAGACAATGTTCTGGAAGGTGGTCATGAGTGGTGGTAGCCTCACCACTTAGGCTGGGCATAAGTCATCAGTATAAAGGTGTGCTATATTTAAAAATGAAATAGGGAAATCTGGCTTGGCTGATGCTAGTGTGAGGCAGGACCAAGTTGTAGAAGGCCTTCTTTGTAGAGTTACTGCTCCAGATGACAGGAGCCCTTGAGTCACACTTGCTAACGCTGCCTGTCAAATCAAGGACCTCTGTCAGCTTTCATTTCATTTTGAGAATGAGACCATTGCAGCAAAGCAAACACTTGCTTTTCTAGGCTACTAGTGTAGTGTTTACCATCAAAGACTTTTCTGTACATAGAAAAATCTATTTTAGAGCGAAAACTAGGTTATAATATTCTGTCAATAGGAAACGGACTGGGCTATTATGGTGGCTGTTTATTTGGGAGCATTTAACATATGAAATGTTTCCAAGGTGATTCCTGCTGTTAATGAGCTTCCAAATAGATGGGTAGGATGAATAAGCAGTGAGACCACTGCAGTGTGGTAAGTGTGGCAGGGCCTGACAGGGGCGGGAGGGCACAGGGAAGTGGCCTGCGGGTGGGAAAAAAGATGCAGGCCCAAATGGAGGGAGACCTTGTAGGAGACCTGGGGCATCAAAGGTTCTGTGGAATGAATTGAAGGAAAACCAGCGCTGCAGAGAAGGACAGTCAAGCACAGATATAGAAGAGCACGAATCTGTATGGACAGGCTGCTCACCAGCCTGGGTGCTGGCTAGGCCTTTCCCATCTTCCCTTCTGGCAGTAATTGGGACCTGCCTACCTTCCAGTAACTCACCTCATGCAGTTTTGGGGCATTGTGTTTTGAAATCGATGGTATGGGCCTTGCTGAGCTTAATGGCAAGTAGATTCAATTGATGAGAAATTTGTAGCTGAAAACCAGTGGTGTTGGGCCTCTCCGATGGCGCAGCAGGTTGAGTGCAGCGCTATGAAGCTGTTTGCAGCCTCTGCGGGGCTGGTTTGATTCCCAGCTGGCCAGGGAGATACCCAGATGGCGCAGCAGGCCAGGGAGATACCCACATGATGCGGCAGACCTCCCCTGTCTTACCCACTGCTCCCCTTCAGCAGTGATTTTGGTCTGTCTGCCTGTTCTGTTTCCCACTCTGTCTCTGGTGAATCTTCTCACCCTCCTGCACTTCTGGCCTGTACCCCAGTTCTTGTATAGATGGATAAATCTTTGGGGGGAAAAAAACAGTGTTGTTGATGGGGAGGGGCATGGGTCTGAAAAGCTGGCATGGGTGGGAAGCACGGCTCCTGGTTAACACCAACTGTAAACAGGAACAGACTATAGTCCCTGCAGTTATTATAAGGGATTGAAGAGGAAATCAAGCCGGGATTACAGGTATGAATTGCTTTCATGATATAAAATAAGACCTACCCACAAGAAGTGACCAACCTAATTAAGTCCACCGTTGTGTTCAGCCTGGGTGTGTTTGCTCCAGCAGTGTTATCAGCCTGTTTTTGTGCCCAGTTTTGTTGGGAATGATTGGAAAGGGAGTTAGAAGTTGACAAAAATACAGCAAAGTGACCTGTTTCTTTGAAGATGCCAGGGACACCATTTCATACCCATTGTTCCAGTTATTGAGATGAGGTCCTTGGCCACCTGCCAGCCCTGTTAGCATACAAGATAACCTTAGGTTCAGCCTCTCTTTAGTGGTTGACTATTTTACTTTACTACATGATCTTTTAAAGTCAAAAGTAGTTATCCCTGATCAGTTCTCCTGTAGGTGCCAGCAGCCAAGTTTAAAAGCGAGGCCAAAGCAGTTTTCTGATGACAAAACTAGTTTTTTTTTTTGCTGATGTTCAGAAAACACATGAGGCAGGAAGGGGGAAAAAAAAAACAGCAAGCACTTCAGTTCTGTGAGTGCAAGAAAAATGGAAGTTCTGCCAAGCCAATATTTATGCTAATGCTACTCCTTCAGCACCAGAACCTCTGTATGGTTTCAAATTTTACTTAATGATAATGAGGTAATTGGAGCAAAGACAAAATACATTGGCTTTTTCGGGCCATAAGTGGTATTAGCAGTTAAAGGTTTTTATATTTGGAAAATGTCATGAAAGTATAGTCTTCCCTTTGTCTGATTTGTTAGAAACAGATAATGTCTGTGGGTGTGGGCCTGAGGTGGCTTTAGGAGTGGAGAAATGGGGACTGAGGAGAGATCCTGAGCCATGAATATGAAGACAAGGTGCTCGAGAGACAGAACTTTCTGGAAAAAATGGTGATTGTTGCTTGTCTCTTTCTGGGCAGTGAGTGTTCTCAGTAGGGTCCAGAAAGGGGGCAACAGAGGGGGAGGTAGTGGGAAATATTTCAGATAATAGAAGACAAGTCTTGCTTCACTGACATCTTTCAGTCAACAAAGGCAAGCAAAGGTGCATACTTACCTCTTAGCTATATTCTGTTGTGTCTTTGTGCTTCTGTTCAGGTTATGCTGAACATTAGCTAGCCCATTAAGAACAACACACCATGCTCACAGATGGGTATTATCTATAGCGCATAATCTGTGATGCAAGAGTTACTATTACTAGCAGGATGTCAGACAGTGTTCAGCACGGTTGGCAAAGGAAAAACACAATTTTTTTTGTCACTAAAGGCTTTTTTATTTTCCCATGTAGAAGACAAGATGCTGTTCTTGAACATTCTCATTATACCATAAGTTAGGGTTTTGTAGGAACGAAAATCAGCAGCAATGCTCTTACCCCTGGGTGTCCATTCTCATGAATTATATAGTGTCGTAAATTCTTGGAGTGGATCAGTCATTAATTTTTAGATGTACAGAATAATTTTATCTAAAATCAGTGCACAGTTGAAATTCATTGAGCATTTTTTCTTTTTTTTTTTTTTTTTTTTTTAGTGTATGGAGTTCCTCCTGTTACCAGCAGTATAATTCTAGTTACCATGAATATAGCAGCCAACAAAATGAAGTCTTGATTTCTTGCTTATGTTCTAATAGGTATGGATAGCAAACAAGTAAGCCAGTAATAAGTAATATGTCAGGAACAGGCCAGAAAATAGGTGTGAAAGGTGTATAAAGGATGTTCAAGGGAGGCCTCACAGATGAGAATTACTGCATAAAGAATGAGGTGGGGGGGGGGCTGTAAGGAGCTCCAATGAAGACAATCCAAACGGCACCAGAGCAAGGCCCTGAGCGGCAGCCTTGTGCTGGGCAAGCCCAGGAGCAGCTGGGGCGGTGTGGCTGGTTGAAGTGGAGTTGGGAGTATGTATGGAGCCAGTTTTTTTTTTCATCCCTCCCACTCTGGGGCCAGTTCTTGGAGGGCCACAAGGCTAAGGGAAGGACTTAGTTTTGCTCTAAGTGAGAGAGAAAAACCTTTGATGAACTTTGACCTTAGGAATGGCCTCATCTGACTTAGGATTTTTAAAGATCATACTGTCTGTTATTTGAAGGAGGAACTCTCGGAGCCTGAGAGAGCAGAGAGACCATTTGGAAGCAAATGCAAAAAGTCCACACAAAAAATTAAAATAAAAAAATTTAAATGGTGGTAGTGAATGTGGTAGCTCGTTCCTATGAGTAGTAGCCCAGGTGGCGAGAAGTGATTTTGGTCTCCTGGTGAAAGGGATATGAACCATGAAAGTAACAGATTTTATGGATGTTTTCAATGTTTGGTCTTAGCTGTCAAAGAGGAAAGTTGCTGAGAAAGGCATGCTTTTTTTTTTTGACAGATTGTTTTCCCATTAAATATCCCAGTGAAGATGGATCTTTAAGAAGGTCTAGAATAGAAATATAAAATACCATAGTAGGGACAGTGTTTAATGCCAGAGATACTGTGGAGGGAATGTAGATAGAAGAATCCAAGGACTGAGCCCGGAGGCTCGCT